CCCCCCCCCCCCCCCCCCCCCCCTCTTTTTTTATAAATCGTGACAATTATTGTTATTTATAGATATATATACCAGGTTTCTTTTACCTTCAATTAATGATTCTCTGTTATGATTTACACGAAAGATACTGATATCAAGCACATTCATATTTAAGATAATTTGCATGTTCCAAGAACCCTCAACTTTCTTCTTTGGTGTAATTCTGATCAACTCATATTGATACTTAAATGCCAAAGTTTCGAGAATCATGAAGGTAGATAAAAAATAGAAGCTTCAGTATTGAACTATGATTTAGAACCTTCTTTTTTTTTTTTTTGCTTTAGTTGTAATAATCCTTTATTGTCTAATTTGTGGGAAAAGTGAACACTGTTAAAATAGTATCCTGAATCTTTGCATGGGGGCATTTCAGTCCCCAGATTTTATAAAATTATGAATTTAATCTCTGTACTTTTTTTAATGGGGGCGGAAATAATCATCCTTTGGGATTATTGCAGCTTATATTAAAAAAATATGAGGACTATTATGACATTTTTATAGATTCTAGAAGGAAATTGATCCCACATAAATAGTCAGGGGACTATTTTTACACTTTTTGGCAAAATTATGGCACATTTTCTGGCATTGGTTTCTTCCTCAACGTGAGATTACTACTGAAAATGTTGTCCTTGCGTGCAGGGAGACTCCCTTGTAGCTCACTTTGAGTATCACAAACAACCAATCACTTCTATTGAATGGAGCCCACATGAAGCCTCTACTTTGGCCGTCTCATCAGCTGATAATCAGCTCACGTGAGTTATTCTTAAAATTATCCAAAATAATGCTTTTTTTTGGTAAAAATTGAACTTTGGATTGCTTAATATTGTCTGATACGATTTAATTTTTTTTGCAACATTAGGATATGGGACCTTTCATTAGAAAGGGATGAAGAAGAGGAGGCTGAATTCAAAGCAAAGGTTAAAGAGCAAGCTAATGGGCCTTCAAATTTACCACCCCAATTATTATTTGTTCATCAGGTAAATAATTGCTCCTCTTTTGTCCGATATTGTTTGTCTGCTGGATTAATACATTAAATGGGCATATACATACCACAGTTGTAGGTGCTTATCTTTTGTATTTTTGTTGAATTATTTGGAATATTGAAGAAAATAGTATTTTGCCCTAATTTTTGTGAGAAAGCATGTCAATTTTGTGCTCATATCATATTAATTTAGTATCAGAGCTCAAGATTCTGGGAAATGGATCACAAAAGAGAGGATCGATCTAGATCGAAACTAAAGCAAATAGAGATCCCTCAAGGAATCGATCGAGGGGTAGGAAAAGAGGGTTTGATTGACTCGACAGGGATTCAAAACTCACTATGAACTTCCAGCATACCCTTGTGCACGAATCTTCTGCAGAAAGACGATATAGTCGCGACAAAGCTATTTGCGCACGTCCATCTCACCTTTTTTTGTCGCACACAACAATGACGGGATTGTGTACCATCTCACCTATCTCTGTCACGTACAACAATGACGGGATTGTGTTCCGTCTCGCCTTCCTCTATCGCACATAGCAACGATAGGATCGTGCGTCGTTCACCTTCCTTTTTCGCACGCAGCAACGACAGGATCGCGTACAGTCTCACATTTCTCTGCCATGCGTAGTAACTACTGGATCGGGTGTCTCCTTCATGACTGAACCCTGTAATACGATCGCGATTGGAGGCCTATCACCTTCGTGACTGAACCCTGCAACAGTCACAATTAGAGCTTTGATTGACGCAATCTAGTGACACTAACTTGCGGTACAATTGAGATAAGAGCTAGCTGAGAAGAGACGATGTGATTTCAAGGTATAAAAATTTTATCTTTGAGATTGAAAATTTTTCTAGAAGAGATGACAACCCAAAAAGTGTTAGAAACGGTGGAGCTCGGTCCACTATGCTTGAGCGGTTACTTTGCTTTGGAGAGTCACACCTCTTTACAAATAACCATTCCCACTTTTCTCTTTTGTGAAGTGAAACATCTTATTGTTCCCTCCTGTTCATGATAAAACTTTCGAATGGCTCTCCTTGGGTTTAGTAGTCACGCTTTGAGTTCTTATTCGGTTTCCTCGGAATAGAGGAAGGTTTCTTCGGGGCAGAGGAAGAGAAGTGCAAGGAGGAGCAGTTCCTTGCGGCAGAAGGAAGAAGGAAGAAGAAGATTGTTCTCCCTAGGCTTCTTCTTGGTGGCTTGTGGCATAAGAGAAATTGAGTTTATTTCTCTTGTAAGTTTGTCTTCTTCGGTGTATCTCGGTGTAGAGTTTTCTTCGGTGTATCTTGGTATAGAGAGAGAAGAAGAGAGAGAGCAACGAAAAGAGAGAGCAACGAAGAGAGATTCCTCTTGTAAGTCGAGGTGATCGACTGATGTAAATTACTCAAATAATAAAATCCGCTGCACAGCTCCATGAATGTAGGCAAAATTTGTCGAACCACGTAAATCTGTGTGTCCCGCTGTGTTGTTATTTTCTGGTGTGATTTTTCTTGTTCTATTTTTCACTTCGTCAATCATTCTCCTGTTTGATTTATATATATACCACATCAGCTGGTATATTTAAATCTCGCAACAACAACAACTAGTATCAGAGCTTTGTTCAGATCTGAGGAAGAATGATGATTGCAGATGAAGTAAAGGTTTCAGGGATTGAGAAATTTGATGGCACGGATTTTGGTTATTGGAGGATGCAGATAGAATTATCTTTATGGGAAGAAACTTTATCTTTCATTATTGGGGAAAAGTCCTTAAAGGATGGATGAGTCTGAATGAAATTTGTTGGATCGACAAGTTCTGAGGTTATTCGATTGACTCTATCGAGGTCAGTTGCACACATCGTTGTCAAGGAAATGACGATTGCAGATCTCATGGAAACTTTATCAGGTATGTATGAAAAATCATCGGCGAATAACAATGTGCACTTGATGAAGAAGTTATTTAATTGAAGATGGCGGAAGGTGTTTCTGTTGCTTAACACCTGAATATTTTCAATACTATCACAAATCAATTGCGCCTGTGGAAATTGATTTTGATGATGATATATGTGCACTGATCTTGTTGGTTTCATTGTCAGATAGTTGGGAAGCCATAACGATAGGAGTTAGCAGTTCTGCAGGTAAATCTAAACTAAAATACGATGATATTCGTGATTTGATTTTGGCTGAGGAAGTTCGCAGGAAAGATTCTGGCGATGTCTCAGGTTCGAGTTCGGAACTGAATTTTGATTTCAGAGGGAGATGTCATTACAGGAACTCAAGTATAGGGAGATCAAAATCAAAGTTTAGTAAGCAGGAAACCTGTTGGAATTGTGGCAAGACTAACTACATAAAGAAGAACTGCAGCAATCCTAAAAAGATAAAGATTGGTAGCGCAAATCTGGTATATGAAGAATCATAGGATGCACTATTGTTGGCAGTTCATAGTTTTGTTGAAGACTTGCTATTAAATTCAGGGGCTTTGAATGTGGTAGGAAATCTACCAGAGGCCACATTGCATGACAGTGATGGAAGTGAAGAGGAAAATGGGTCCGGGGCACCCATTCCTATTATTCCACAGACAGATGTTGAAGAACTATAGAGCTATGAAAAAATCTTGCAAGATGAAAGTTCGAATAAGTGGGAGCTGGCAGAACTTCCACCATGAAAGAAGACATTGCACAACAAGTGAGTGTACCAGGTGAAAACTGAGCGTGACGCCAGTAAGAGGTACAAGGCTAGTCTTGTTGAAAAAGGCTTTCAACAGAGACAGGATGTTGTCCATACAGTGGGAGTTGTAAGAAAAGACAAGAGTAACCCGGAAAATAGCTTGAAGGTGCAAAGCTATGTGGAGTCTGCTGATATGTTGACTGAGGGTGTTATTCTTGAGAAACTAAAGTTGTGCACAACTTCAGTTGGTCTTCTAAAATTAAGACAGGTTTTGAGTTGCAGAGGTGGAAGATTCAAGTTAGAGAAAAAGGCAACACCGCCAGTGGAGGATATCAGTTTGAGGAAGGAGATGTTGCAGTCTGTGTACCGGTCTTTAAGTGAGAGAATTGTTAGAAACGGTGGAGCCCGGTCCACTATGCTTGGGCGATTATTTTGCTTTGGAGAGTCACACCTCTTCACAAATAACCACTCTCATCTTCCTCTTTTATGAAGTGAAACATCTCTTCGCTCCCTCCTGTTTGTGATAAAAGTTTCGGATGACTCTCCTTTGGTTTAGTAGTCACACTTTGAATTCTTCTTCGGTTTCCTCGGGATAGAGGAAAGTTTCCTCGGGGCAGAGGAAGAGAAGTGCAAGGAGGAACAGTTCCTTGCGGCGGAAGGAAGAAGGAAGAAGAAGAAGATTGTTCTCCCTAGGTTTCTTCTTGGTGGCTGGTGGCTTGTGGCATGTGGCATAAGAGAAATTGAGTTTATTTATCTTGTAAGTTTGTCTTCTTCGGTATATCTCGGTGTATAGTTTTCTTCGGTGTATCTCGGTATAGAGAGAGAAGAATAGAGAGAGAAGAAGATAGCGAGCAACGAAGAGAGATTCCTCTTGTAAGTTGAGATGATCGACATGTGTAAATTCCTCTAGTAGTAAAATCCTCTGCAATTCCGTGGACGTAGACAATTTGATGAACCACGTAAATCTGTGTTCTGCTGTGTTATTCTTTTCTGGTGTGATTTTTCACGTTCTATTTTTCACTTTGTCGATCGTTCTTCTGTTTGATTTATATATATACCACATCAACTGGTATATCTAGATCTCGCAACAACAACAAAAAATAAATGATTTGGAGAAGAAATTAGAGGAAGAGATCAATCAAATCAGATTTGAGATAGAAGAAAGGTTTGACACCATTAAGGATAGGTTTTCTTCCACGACGAACTGAATAGAAGTTCGATTCAAGAGCATGGGGGGAATTCGAGAAATGATAAAGAGACTCGTTGAGAATTAAGATGCAATCCAAGACCCCACCGACAACTCAATTTGCAAACCTATAGGGCAAGAGATTGAATGTGAGATATGAGGAGTAAAACATCCACCTCCATGAACCCCCTCCCAGGGCTTCGATTGGGGTGGATTGGTTATTTCTGATGAAAACGGTTCGGCGAGACATGAAGATGAGATTATGCAAGAGGTATTAGGAGTACGAAGAAGAAAGGAAAGAAGCAGGGATATGTATGAATTTTATCGAACGAGGGAGTTTTACCCTCAATATATGGGGAAAACAATAAAGGGAGATGAAGTTAGGCTGGAGATGCTATGAGCAGAAAGTTGAAGGAACGATCTTCAAAGGAGAAGATGCATATGAGTGGGTGCATCGGGTGGAGCGATACTTCACGGTGATTGAGTTAGATGGGGGAGGAGAAACTTATGGCAACAAGATTATGTTTGGAGGAGAAAGCCCTAGCCTAGTTTCAGTTGAGAGAGACTAGATATCTAATCCGTTCATGGGATGATTTTAAGGATTGTTTGTCAGAATATTTCTGAGTCATTCGAGAAAGAGACATATAGGAACAATTCTATCTTGACTCGGGAGGAGACGATCATGGAATATATGGAGAGATTTGAGCTATTGTCGGGACAGATGAGGAGGATTTCTGAAGTTGGTTTGGAGAGGAATTTCATGAAGGACCTAAAGTCCTACATATGGGCAGAACTCTAACTATTGAGACCGTGGGTTTTATGGGAGATAATGGAGCTTGCCTAGATGGTGGTGGACAAGAACCAAATGAAGGCCAACTGAAGTAGCAGAGATGGAGCGTCGTACTCGATTTACTACGACCTTGTTGATACCGAAATGTCAAACATTGGAAGTCTTGAGGGAGGTTACACGAGACATGAATATGGGGCATTCCTAGGAGCGACACTCATGCACCTTACAGAGGTAGATTCTTGAGAAGCGAGCTAAGGGGTTATGTTTTTGGTGTGATGAGAATTTTATTCTAGGACATCGTTGCAAGGATCGAAAATTACAAGTTCTCATGGTGCATGACGAGGAAGCAAAGGATGAAGTAATAGAGACAAGTTGAGGTGGAGGAGCACCAACTTATTCCCATCTTGAAGATAAGGTATTTATTGGGGGCTAAGAGTAATGTTACACCGGTACCTACTCTAAGGGTAAATTTATCTTTTGTATGCATAAGTGCAATTTAGTCCTGTTGAGGAATTAAAAGGCAAAGAAAGCGCAAGAATCATCAAAATCAAGAAGAAATCATTGAGTTTTAACGAGGATTGGCAATTTGCCTACGTCCTCGGGAGCACAACATATATATATATATATATATATATATATATATATATATATATATATATATAACCTTGGCGTACAATATATTATTACAAAATTACCCATGTACCGTACCGCGGGGTCGTTGCCCTCACAACCCCAACCTTCATAATAAAACTCCCCCTGATTGGACGGATGCATCTGCGCTCGCTCGCTCCACTCCGCTGGCTCGCTCTATTACGCTCCAGCATTTGTTCCTTATCTGGTACATGAGCCATACCTAATATGTCTTTTATTATTATTATTGTTTGTAATAGTTATGTTTATTATGTTTAGGCTTGGAGTATGCATGAAGGTAGAGTTGTGAGTTTTAGGCTTAGGGTTTGGGAGAGATTTTCTACCTCTCGAATTGTAGGAATTGGTAGAGATCGCCTACCTATTGAATTCTAGGTGCATTATCTTTTGTATTTTTTTGAGTTTTTCGGAGTATTGAAGAAAATAGTATTTTGCCCAAATTTCTGTGGAGAAACATGCAGATTTTGAATCGGATCGTATCAAATCGTATGGTATTTATGTTAATTTTCCTACATTAAAATAGGTTGCCTTTTTTCTCAACTAGAGAATTTTTTTTTTATTTCTCATACTACTGGGTGTTAGTTAACGACTAAAAGAAGAATTTGTGAGGCCCGTTAAAAAAAAACATCCCCCCACCCACACACACACACACACACACACACACACACACATATATATATATATATATATATTTGAAGAATTCATGCGAAGGGTCTGGCTCATTGGTGCGGCTTTTGGCATAAGTTCTTCGGGTCGGGGGTTTGAAACCCGTGGCACGGGCTCTTTGAATCAGAATCAAGCACGATGGGTTTTCAACCTATATGAGGGAATTGATATTTGGTGCCCACTAGACCAAAAATATATATATATTGAAGAATTCATTTAACTCGTCTATCTAATTTGGAACTAATCAACTATGATACCCATTAACATTCTATATTATTCCAGCTCCTTTGTATTATAATTAGCATTTTGCTGGAGAAAGCTCATGATGATTTTGATGCCTAAATAGCATTATATATGGGGGCATTTACATACATACCACAATTTTTATGTATTTACATATCTAACGCCTGAACATTCACATTCTCTCTCTCAAATCTTTAACAAAATACCTCTATCATAACTGTAAAGATCAAAATTTGGGTGTTAGATATACAAAATTACACAAGAATTGCGAGGCATGTATGTAAATTTCCCCACATCTATCGGTATATCAAACCACATTTTGTTCTGAAATGATAAATCCATTAATTAACAGGGACAGAAGGACTTGAAGGAGCTTCACTGGCACCAGCAGATTCCAGGGATGATCCTATCTACATCAGCAGATGGCTTCAACGTTCTAATGCCCAGCAACCTTGAGCCCACCCTCCCATCAGCTTAATTTTGAAGCCATTTCCAGAATCCCAACCTTCCTTATTTTTATTTTGCTTCTTTTGCTGATTAAATTTATTTTGTAGTTTGTTTATGAGAAATATGCATGTTGTTGGGTCTCGGTATTAGTCTAAATATCTGTTTTAATTAAGTATTTGGGTTAAGTTTTAATTTGGTCTTCATATTCTTAGACTAATGATTTGCACGTCCTATTTGCAATGCTTTATTAACTGTCTAATTTCTTAACTAAGCAATTATATGCATTTCGAATAATCAACATTTCAGATTAAAACTAATGATTATCTAAGGCCTTAATTTCAGTAATTTTATCTTTAAACTAATCTTAACGATAAGGTGAAAGAGATAAAATTGGTTCAATTCAAGTCTGATCAAGCAATTCAAGCAAAATTGGAGGTTTTTAATGATTAATTGAATTGTCAAATGGATTTCAAATTTGATAAGTGTATAATCAAATTGTGTCTCATCGAGTTTAATCTAATGAGTCCAAGATCACTTGATTTTAACATAATTAAGGTATTGAAATGCTTATAAAACACCATCCGATTAAATGGATTGCTTCGGACTATCTAATGAGTGGCTCAGGTTCATGTGATATTTCTTGTCAAATCTATAAATAGACTTCTGTTTTCTTTATGCAAAGGGATTTGAGACCTACACTAGAAGAAAGAGCCTAAATAAGAGATTCAAACTCTTATGAGCTCCATCACTATCAAAACAAAGTTGATCAATAATTGATATCATAGAACCGCCATCGCTTCTTCATGGCCACTGTTGGTAAGCTGTTGTCATTGCCAAATTACTTTTTTCCCCGGCCTCCACCGTCAAGTTGCCGTCACTATCGGACTATCCTTGTCGTTTCTCGACCACTGTCGAATGGTTGCCTTCATCATTGAACCGTCACTTCCTGACAAGCTATAGGCACTACTGGACTGTTGTCGTAGAGCCGCCACCACCGTTGGACCACTGTTGTCACTTTCAGGCTACCATCGACTACCGTTGACACCACAGGACCACCATCGCCGCTCCTAGGCCATGACCGACTGTTCGTCGCCATCACCATTGCTGGCGCCGCTACTGCCCAGTCATTGTCATATGGACTTCGTCATTTCTTCGACATATTATGCCACTCCTCTAGCAGAAAACACGTCACTTGTATAATATTGCTCTCATCCAATTAAGGACCAACAAAGTCTTGTAACTTACAACAACATAGTGAAATCATTTCAATTGTGCTTAACCCTATGATTTTTTTCTTTTTCGGGTTTTCAGAGAGAAGACAACATAATATATATATATATATATATATATATATATATATATTATGTTGTCTTCTCTCTCTATTTCTTTTTATGCATGTATGTTAGATCTTCGTACAAAATTAAGACGTTAATTTATGACTCTATCGTCGTAAATTTACTAGCATACCACAACAATAGTAACAATAAATACTTGCATACCACTCATTTCTTATGTATATACATATCTAACACTTATAAAGCTTGGAACTTTTATGTCGCCTTACTCATATATAAAATTTCTATTTCACATTTTTAAATTTAAAACAGTGGCATTTTATATATGACATAAAAGATTAGAATAATATAAATGTAAACATTGAAGTTTAGTTGCTAGATATGTAAATACATAAGAATTTGGTGGTATCCATGTAAATGCCCTAATAATAATAATAATAATAAAAGGCATGCTTGCCATCATTCATCCATACGCTCTCATGGTCATGTCACGTGACTCCCACCATAAAGGCTAAAGATTGAAAAAGAAAAAGAGGAGCTCTCAACGTTAGCGCTCAAAAGCTGTACTGTCTCCCTGCAATCCCACCTACTGCTGTCCTCTCTTGCTGGGATCTCTGCCTAGCTTTCAACAATTCATTCCCCTTCATTCTAAATTGTTAGAAATAAAGGAAATTGACATACTTAGCACATAATTCTTATTTATTTACATATCTAACACTTCCAATTTTCATATTTAAATGCGGATGATATCTTTTTTGTGGATAAGACTATAGTGAGTTAAGGAAGATACTTGATTTATGAAGATCAGTTTTAGAATCTAAAGGGCCTCGTTTTAGTGGATCTAAAACTAAGTATTTGGTGATAAAGTTTAGGGTTAAGTCTCGGGTCCCTTATTCAAAGTGATGGTGATATATATTGGGATGTTATTAGTAGAACTCAAGTTGGCTGAAGTTGAGGAATGCTTGAGGCCTATTATGTGATAGAAAAATACCTCTTAGACTTGAAGGAAAACTTTTATAAGATGGTGGTGAGGCGTGCAATGTTTTATGTTGCAGAATATTGACATGTAAAAGAGAAGCAATAAAACTAAGTGTTGTTGAAATGAGAATGCTCACGTGGATGAGCGACTTTACACTTAGAGACGAAATACGGATGAATATATCTCAGCAAGGGTTGGAGTAGCTCTAGTGACAGACAAGATCAGAGAGAGTCGACTTAGATGGTTTGGTCACCGTTAAAACTCGACCATATCATGACGCTGTTAGGAAAGCAAAATTCTAAATTTGACTTCTTGTAACGTAGAGATAGACTTAAGAAAACTTTGGTATGTTGTATAAAAAAATGATCTTAGTTTATTAGAATTAAATGAAAATATGAGAGCCAATAGGACACAATGGAGAAAAAAAGATTTATGTAGCCGGCCCCACTTAGTGGGACGAAAACTTCTTCTTCTTGCTGTTGCTATCTGTAAATATGAAAGTTTAAGTGTGAGATATTTGAAAATATAAGAATTGATACCTCTTAATAAGCAAGTCCATGACTTACTAGGGGATTGAATATAAATCGATACTCAAGAAGTACATGCAGCGTTCTCTAAGGATATATATATATATATATATAAGTTTCACATCACGCCAAAAATACAGCCATTCTAACTTCTAAAAAATAAAACAAGCCTTCTTATAAATAGTTAATGGGGATATGCATGCAAAAATTGAAGTTTAGGTGTTAGATATGTAAATACATAAGAATTGAGTGATATATATATTTAAATCTTCCTTTAAAATACATATGATGTTCATAATAGTGGTACAAAAAAAATCTTGATTTAAAAAAAAAATTATGTAAATTAATTTGATTGAATTTATTTGCATATTATAAGTTTGTTTGCTAAAATGAAGAGTGTGATAGTTTTGTAAATAATAATATTTCAGGGACTTGCATGTAATTGCAGTTATAATATTATTTTAAATTAAAATGTTTTCTAGAATGTAGAAGTTCAATTTTTATTCTAATATAATGGATTTATTTTGAACTATTAAATATGAGATTGTCCTGTGAATCACACCCAAATAATAAGTAGTAACATAGAGAATAAAATGAGGATTCATTAGACTCGTTACTGTAGAAACAACTCCCCTATTTATAGACAAGAGGGGATACAAACTATAATTACATGCTTGTCGCTATCTCGATAGAGACATTACAGAATAATTTAATTAAAAAAAAATAAAGATATAAAAAACGCAGGTAAATTGATAAATAAATAAATAGGTCTTCAGCTCGGCTCTTTCTGTCGATCAACCATCTGCGCCCGATAATTTTTTGGATTGGTGAAATGCCACTCGACATGATCCGCTGGGTTCAAATAATAGTTCGACTAAAGCTATCTATTAGTCGGCAAAATCTTTGATCGATCGGCCCTCGCTGACTAATCAGCTTATGTGTTATGTTTATCGGCTTTGAATTATGATCAGATGGAACTGAGTGGATACACCTTTCTGGCTTACGTGTTGCTGGGCCTCTTTGACCACGAATCTTTTGACATGTCAGATTTTTTCAACATCAACAAAAGGAAAAAATGATATTATTATTGTTGTGAAATATGTACTTCCTGACATAGAAATGAAACACAAAGAATACAAACAAACACAGATCGTTTACGTGATTCGATCCAACTGGATCTATGTCCACAGGAGGGAATCAATCAAATAGTTCACTAAGGCAAAAGAAATGGAGAATACATAGCTTATACATAGAGATGAGCCCTTATCTTCCTTCTATGGCCTCCCTCTCAAGCGACACATTGATACAAGGCCTCAAGATGCTCTCCTCCTCTCTAGTTCTCTAGTTATTCTCTCCTCCTTTGTGGTAGCTTAAGATCTTTTCACTTGTTCACCTAAGTCTCACACCCTCTCTATTTATACAAACCAAGAGAATGGTAGGTGGGAGGTAGGTGAGCGGTACCACATTACAAAAGTGATCTTTTTTTCTTAGTTCAATAATTGATGTCAAAATAACAATTATTTATAAAAAAAATTATATAAAGAAGAAATGGGGAAAAAAAAAAAAAAAAAAAAAAAAAAGAGAAAAGAGAATACTTCACCAAAACCGGGATGGCCAAAAAAGACCAAATTCTCTATTATTGTTTGGGGAAAGAAAAGCAGTGGCAGTACCCAAATTCTTCGGATCCGGCTTGCTGCTCCCATCGCTTTCTTCCCTTGTTTTTATTCAATTTATTTTTGGGGCATGCATGCATGCATGATGCATATCACTCAACTCTTATATATTTACAGATTTAACCTATAAATTTTTTTTTATTTTTTATTTATGTCATTCAAATATTATATATTATATAAAAAAGATTTTTTTTATATTATTTTTAAAGTGGATAACATTTTTCTTGATGTTATATATATATATATATATATATATATAATTAAGAATTAGAAATGTGTATGATAGAAATCTTCCTTTGTAGTTTCAGTTGGTGAGATAGTCCAGGGAACCTGTTGAACTTGATCAAGCTCCTGCCGGCCCAGTCAATCGGTTCTATTTAGCCTAGTTGGCCAGCTCTGGTTGGCCATCTGCAGTCTGCCCAGTCGACCATCTACTTACAGCTCAATCGGCCCAAAAAACTAGCTCCAGTTGGCCTAGTCGGCCCTCTCCAGTGGACCAACCCAAGTCAGCCAACTTCAATCGACCCAGTTGACCATCTCCAGCTTGGCTTTCTCCAGTTGGCCCGATCGACCAGCTACAGTTGGCCCTCTCTAATCGGTCATTTCTAGTTGACTTCATAAGACAATGATTACAGTCGTCACTTAGCAATAATCATTCTCTTATAAGTAGAGGAACGTTACTTATAATAAAAAGAGAAAACATAATAATATGAAAATAATGTACTTATGGTATTTTCCTTGGTTGTAGGCCTACAAACAAACCGATCCAAGTTGAGCAAGTTGCGCTCAAGCCTGAACTTGTTTATAAAATTCAAGCTAAGTCGAGCTTCAGCTCAAGTCTTTTTGGGATTATGTGGAAGCTTGAGCTTGTTTATAAAATCTGAGCTCAAGCTCTAATCTAGCTTTGCTTTTATGATCAAGTTTAGTTCTTATTTGAGTTTGATTCTTGTTCTTTTCATATCATGTTAATCGAGTAATTATCAAGCATATTAATTAGTAAATTATCAAGCTACCTAATTTTTTTCCAAACAATATTTATTGAACAAATTAAAACTAGTGCTAGTGTGTTATTTATTTTATGAGGCTTATCGAGCAAAACAATAAGCAATATGAACTGTTGAACTTACCAAAATAAATGAGCTATTAAATGAATAACTAAATAAGTACATAAATGCATAAAATAAACGAATAACTAAACAAATAAGTTTTCCTTTTTTTTTTCTGTTTTTATGTGCAACAAATTAAATTTAAGTTTATTTTAATATAAATTAATTTTAAAATGAGCTTTAGTTAAGCTTATTCTTAAGCTTAAAATAAGCTTTAACTGATATTATTCATAAACAATAAATTGGTCTAATTTATTAACTTTAAATGTAAAATGATATTGTTCTCAAACAAAAAATGAATTGAATGAGGATGTCGGGTATTCAAGTTCGTTCATTTAACAATCGAGCATTTATAAAAATGCACAAAATTATTCCATTAATTAATCCAGTGGATATGAACGACCTCTTATCTAGCCGAGTTATGAATAGCTTATCAAATAATCGATTTACTCGATATCTTCTTTAGATGTGATTTACGAACAAATTTATAATCAACAATAACTAGGAATTAAGTGGCATGCATGTAAATTTTTATTTATATTCCCCTTGCTTTTTCTTTAAGCATTAAAAGACTAAAGCACCCCTGCATGTGGGGCCCACACCCGACCGCCTACACGCTCAGGAAGCTTCCCTACGTAAGCAGCGGTATTTTCGTAATTTAGGTCAATTATCTGAGCTTTCATATGCACTTTTTTTTCTTTCTTTCTTTTTAGCACCCCTGTTGCCAGCAGCGCAGAGCAGTTGAGAGGGAAGATAGCGCAGCTTTCGACATGGAGGAGAGAAGAAAGAAGAAGAAGAAGAAGCAGCAGATGCCACTATCCTCTTCTCGCAGGGAAAACACGCCGGGAAACCCCAACATTCATTCTAAGAAGCCCATTGGATGCTTCTCTGGCATACTCCAGCTCCTGTCTCGCCACCACTCCCGCCGCCGCATCTCCGGTAATCAACCCCCAACCCTGAACCCAACACGATTCAAATCCACTAAAACATTTTTTTCTCTCAGCAGCGAAGAAAGAGAAAATCGAAATTCCTCCGGCAACATCTAATCCAACACTACCACAGCCGGATTTCACAAAGATAAAGACCGCACCGACGCCGGAGAAAGTAGATTTGAAATTTTCCGGAGAAGGAAATGTTTTATCGCTGCGGAGTCCGACGCTTTCGCCGGAAATCCGGCGATCGGGTGAATGCTTTGATTGCGGGGAAAACCAACGGCGGCCTCCGGCGATCGTTGCTCGGCTAATGGGGTTGGAGGAGTCTTCACCGCAGCAGCAGAAGCAGTCAAAGATATCGACTGCGTTCGTCGATGGGTTCACGTCTGATTCAGCTGAGGAGAAAAGGAGGAGGCTGCTCGGGGCTCTGGAACGGTGCAATGAGGATCTCCGGGCGTTGAAGAGGATCATCGATGCTGTTCGATCGGCGGAGATGATCGGCGTGAAAGGTGGAAGAGATTCGCCGATGCAAGGGATGAAATGCCTGGAAGGAAATAGCGAACAGCCCAGCCCTGTTTCTGTGCTTGACGGCCTTGCGTCCCCTAAAAATGGTGAATTTGCACACCTTGATTTCTATATATTTACATAAATAGCACACAATTCTTATGTATTTACATATTTCATGCCTCAAATTTCATATTTACACAGATAACATTCGAATCTTTAATATTGTATACTAAATAACACTATTATTACCATTAAAAGTGAAATACAAACAAAGTTAAAACACCAAAAATGCCATGTATGTAATATAAAAATTTAGTTGTGATTGGGATGTAAATTTCGAAAGAAAAAAAAAAAATCTGACATAATAAGATAATTTATATGAATTATATACTGTTTATTATGAAATCTTGAGATAAGCTTTTAGTTTTTATATAAATTATTAGAAAGTAATATTAAATGAAAAAGCATTGTAAAAATCAAAATAGTTGTTTTCTTGTACTAAAATACAGCATCCAAAATGTTGGCTGTTTTATTCTTCGTACAGATTTGAGTTATTATTTATGAATTATCGGCTGACACTGTCAAAATGTTTTAATGAAGATTTTAATTTTTAATAAGCTAAAACATTTTAGATGTATGTATGTATGTATCTATATATGTATGTATGAATGTATGTATGTATGAATGTATTTGCATACATAGATATCTATATATATTTGTTTAATTAATTTGGGCCAAAACGATAACACGATCGAACAAATATTTGTTTGTGTTTAGCTCGGTTACAAATCAAGCTCAAAAAGTTTGTTTTTGTTCCGCTCGCCTAATGAATGAATCAAACACTGATACTTAACAATATATATGTATCTATAGACATATTCCTTCTTTTATGTGAGAATAAACTTTAGATAGAGCTAGAACTTATATCAACTTAACTATATCAATATATAAAATTATGAAAAAAAATAATACATTTATATTATGAAATCCATTTTGTTCATTTTTTTTTTGTTAACTCCCAAAACTCTCATGATGTTGATCCCAATAATGATATGATACATTTTTTTTTTTTTTTTTTATCGTGCCAAATGTATTGAAATTAATTTGCAATAAGTTTGGTGCAGATGACTTAGAGAAGAAGGTATGGAGCTCGACTGTGATGAACCTCCATCTCCCCCGTCGGATTACGATCGAAGGGATCCCTCGCCTGCTATCGGATCATAAGAGAATGCTTATGGATCAAGCAAGGCCAATCGATTCTTCTCCGGCGGCAACAAAATCGTTCGCCAGCCGCCGGTGGCGGCGAAGATGGAGGAGCAATGCCATGGTGAAATGCGTGGGGGAAGTTGCAGAAGATGTAGTCTGTGAAGAGAGAAAAGAGCTTGTGAGAGTTGGAATGGATTTGGCTGAAGATGTAATCGGAGAGCTGGTTGGTCAACTTGTTGTGGAGTTGGTGGAGAGCTGTTCTATGCTCTGCCTTCGAACGGTAAGGTGTAAGAGGAAATTGTGTTTTTAGTTGTGTTAGATGTGTTGAGCTAAAATTTTGCTTTTTGAACTATTGGTTGAACAAGAATTTAACATGTTTTGGAGTGAGTAGCTGTAGGTGTGTGATGTGGTTATGGGAAATGAAGTCTCTTTAGATTGGTTGATAATATTTCTATTATGACAGTTGGTTTTATCTTTCATTTGATAGATTTTTTTTTCACATCATTCAAATTATATCATAAGTGATTAGTGCTAGAAAATTTGCGGGTATAGATTAATAGATTATCATCTTAGCATTGTACAAAATTCAACACACACTGAGGTGAAAATAAACAATTAGTGGAGAGACCAAAGTTCTTACGTGGAAAACTAGAAGTGGAAAAAATCGCGGGGTTTGACTCATCTATATAAATCCAATATAAGTTGACGATTACAGAGATTCATTGTCTCACAAGTTGGAAAATGTTACAAAGTCTTCAAAATTACATTGTCAACGTGCGGATAAACTTTTGTTGCAAGAAACGAGCGGCAAACGCTAGTGATCGGTGGGGGCCAATAGGTGGTGGTCGATGGAAGTGGGCGGTGGTGCTAAACTTCAACTCCTTTTCAATACTTCATGCTCTTTCTCAATCCTCAAGCTCTCTTCATGCCTCAAGCTCTCTCCTCACTCTCATGAAGGGGTGGGAATCTATTATTTATGTAGTTCTCAACTGGGACGAAGGAATGTGAAACATTTTAATCGGTCAATCTAGAGAGTTTTTTTAATAAGAATATATTTGATGGACATTTGTAATGATATCAAAATTCTGTGATCTTAGACTCATTCAATTCATCTCGTCGATGCATTCGATTTTGTTATAATTGTTCACTCCTTTCCGTAAAAATACAAAACAAGCTTGCATGATTAAAATAAGAATAAAAGGGAATTTATCTCTCCTCAATTCTCTGTATCACAAAGGAAACGACACCACCCACTGAGACCGCGAATGAGTTGACTCAATTTCAGCATCTTTGTCAAAATTACGAACTTATCCCTGCTTTAGTCCCACGTTCATGTACAGGCTTTCATTTGCTGGAGAGCAACTGTTCGAGAGTATTTTTGGTAGGAGGTTTTCTAAAACCGATACGATCGGCAATAGGGCGTCTTTCGAGAGTTGATCGTTCTCTCTCGTCCATCTCTATCTTAATCGGATTCAGGCCACTCTTTTCTCTCTCTATCTCTCTCTAGTTTTTGGATATCTGTCCAGCGATGGCCGATCAGCTCACAGACGAACAGATCGCCGAGTTCAAAGAAGCTTTCAGTTTATTCGACAAGGATGGAGACGGTCAGATTTCTTTTTTATTTGTAGTTTTTTTTTCTTTCATTAATTGATCTAATGTATTTTAACTCATTTTTTGGGGATCATTATGATTCATTCCGATTGCAGCGCTCGAGTTCTGAGGTGCTTTTGTCGTTTTTCTCTAATTGGGGTTCATCTTGGATCGGTTAGATCTTAATTTATGATTCATTTGGGTCCAGGAACTTTGGGTTCATTGGTTGATGAATGATACATGTACTCGAAATGATTGAGTTCTGGCTTGAAGTTTTCCTGAGCTTATTTTTCATCTCCAGAAAGTTATAGGTTTGTTTTGTTTTTGGTTTTTGTTCCATTATTTTGTGTTTTTTTGGGAGACATTTGTTTTTTGGGTGGTTTGTTACTTGATAGAGGCTTAGGTTAAAATATCTTTATGTGGATATAATTTTTGTAAATGGTACAAGACATGGGAACATGGCATTTTTGGAAGCTAGGAATGACATAGGTACAATTTTTTATTGGACCTTGGCTAGCAGGCATTCTTGTCACCTATCACCTATCATGATTGCAATGCTTACAAGCGCTTTGATTGAGAGTTCGGTTAATAATAAACAATCATGAGATATGTTTACTGCCTCCTAGTTTCGCCAGAGGGAAATATCAATTACTTCAGTTTAGAATGAAGATTCGCACAATATGATAAGTAAATAAAATGGTCAGAAGCGTACGATTTTCTTATGTGAAAATGAATTAAAGTTTAGAGTTCTAATTCAGTCGAAATAACTTCAAGCTGTAGTAAATATGGGTCGCAATGGGTCATCCTTCCCTGACTCATAAAAGGTATAAATACAGAGTAATGAAATTAAGTTGTTGTTGGTATCCTTTTTGATGATGCAATAAGATTAAGTTCCAAGATAGTCTTTTCATTGGGAGGCTGAGATAATAGGATTGAGAGGCGGCAGTGAATTAGGTAGCGTTGAAAGTTCAAGAAGGACATTGATGATGATTGAGATAGCTCTCGTATTAATGGTGAAAGCAATGTAATCTAAAGGTGTAGGTTGGTGATCATTACCTTAGATGTGAAAGTAGTAAGATGCTAAGATGATGGATGAGACATTGCAACAAAGTCATGAAGGCCACATAGGATGGTTGGGTAGGTTCTCTCCCTGAAGGCGAAGGTGGCACAACCTAAATGTGGTAGTTGAAGTAATGTATGAAGGTCATAGAGGTTAGTGATAATTTTCAAGTAAGCCCTTCACCTGGAGTTAAAGATGTTATGACCTAAAAGATAGTGAAGTAATGTAGAAATATCATGAAGTTCGCTGAGAACAGTTAGGTGATCCTTTTTGTGGAGCTGGAGATGGCACAACTTGAAGTTGGCATGTGAGGTATTGCAGGAAGGTTGTGAAGATAAGAAAGAGTAGTTAGGTTGGTCTTGCTTCTTGAGTTAGAGATTACACAATTTAAGAGCAGTGGATGAGATAGTGTTGGAAGGTCTAAAAACTATTAGGATTGTCCTCTATGTGGATGTAGGACAACATAACCTTAAGATGGTTGGGAAGGTGGTGTAGGAAGGTTTTCGAAGTCATTGAGTACAATTAGGGCAAATATCCTTCTAGAGATAAAAATGACTACTTGAAGTTGGAGCGAGGGATGAAATATGAAGGTTATGGATTTTATTGAGGGCAAACGATGGTCCTTGCTTAAGAGGTGAATATAAAATTACATGATGATGATAGTAAATGCTAGTTTTTGAAGTTCACCTAAGTGCACCCTTGTGTGCATAAAATGCATGCACGATGTTTAGCTTGCCTTGGTTGATTTCGTCGAGGCAAGGTCACTCTAAATCAACTACTTTGATTAGTTTGAGGGCTTATGGACATTTAAATTAGGTGTTTTTGGAGATGATGAATTTGGTTTGTTGTGCGGCTGATGTTGATAGCAAATTAGTCATTTGGAGCCCATTTGTTCTTGGATTTAGCTTTTGAAGTCAAAATTGTTATTCTTTCAGCTCCTTTAAATGCTTTGAGATACATAATTGCACCAAAAATTATGCATGATTGTAGAAGAATTTAGGAGTTTTTACATACATACCACCAACAACTTCAAATATAACAGCCTCCTCACCCAAACTTCAAAATTTACAATTCTACTACCCAAAGTCTTCATCCCTTTCAAAACAGCCACCCCCACTCGCCTCCGTTGCTCACACATAGCTCGCCGTTTCCCACTTCATCGCTTGCTTTCCCGTGGCTATCATATGTTGTCCGTCTCCTGTGCACTCACCAAGAAACTCCTCTGCAAGTGAACCTCTCGGTGTCAGCAAGCAATAAGGAATGTGAGGAAAAAAAAATGAAGGAATCTACTAAATAGAAAATTAGAAATTTACATAGTGGAAAAAAAAAACCATTGAGAATGGGAGTGCCAGCTGGGTGAGTTAAGATACAATATTGACAATGATTTCATGTTCCCTTCTCCAATGCCAATCATGCCGCTTTTCACCAATGCATTTGTTTTCTTCTTCCAAAAAATGGTCTCGTGTCATTGATGATTCAATTTTGGCAAGGGAAAACAATGTCTGAGACCCTCGCCGAGTTCTTACTTGTCGATGCTGACGGGCTTACCTGCAGAAGGATTTTTTGGTGAGTGCACGGGAGGCGGACGAAGGCTGCAAAATTGTCACGGGATGGCTGTCTCGAAAGGGACAAAGTTTTTGGATGGTTGAATCGTAAATTTTGAAGTTTGGGTGGTGAGGTTGTTATATTTGAAGTTTTTAGTGGTATGTATGTAATAAGAATTTATGCAATCCCAACAATGGGAAAGGGAGGGAGGAAAATATAATTTTGAGCTGATTTGCTAATAACATCTATGAGATGGTAAAATAGTAAGGATTTGCTATAGTAAACCACCTCCTTCAAGCTGATACAAAGGCCTTTTAGAACTTGTTGGAACATGTTTTAAATATGTTCTTGTCATAGAAAATTAGCATGCTAGGAGAGAGGAAAATCATATCACTTATTTATTTCAAGAGTGAATCTATCATCGCATCACATTAACTTCTTTGATTGTAAGGAAAGGCGAATCCTTTTGTAAGGATTGCAAGGCGGTTCAAGAAAAACAAGGTTTGATTATGCAAACATAGATTAATCATCATTTTTGTATATAGAACTATATAAAAATTATTTAATATTCACATTTGTGTATAATAAAGCCTCGAAGGATTAGAAATATCAAGCTTTGTTTAATATGATGTCAAATTAGAAAATAATTTAATATGCATAATATGATGCTGATATTTGAAGAAGTGAAAAGAATTAATATAAGGTGGATGGTGCTGTTAGTATGAAGAGTAATTACTAACATAACTATTTTATCACTCACCAAAAGATTTGAACAAGGTCGAAAATCAAGCTAACCTTGTAGAGAATTAATCTTCTTCAAATTTTGAGAACAAAGGAAAATGCCATTTTATTTCTAAGCATGCACTTCAAGTTACAAAGCATCTCTAATGAGCAAAACCAATAGAAGAGGGAGGGAGGGAGGGAGAGAGAGGGAGGGAGGTTTTTGGAGTTGTCCTTGGAAATCATCATGATGTTTTGCATGGGTTATCTCTCACTTGAATGTTCTATATGCCTATAGAGTTGATTTTGCAATCACAAGAAAAAACCAAACTCCAACTCAAATTCTCCGAGCATATGCAAGGCGGAATGTTTGTAGAAGATGAACTTGCAAATGAAACTCTTGTAAGAGAGTTCTTCTTTCTATATATGGTTTAGTTTGCCAATTCCGATGGTGCATAATTTTTTTAGATGGTGACAAGTATATTGCTTGGGAAGAAGATTATAGAACATAACAAAAAGCAAATTTTAAAAAATATTTGTAATTTATTGTACCTATTTAACAACTCAAAATTTGAGACTAAATAGTGGGGAGTTTGAATTTGAAATAAACCAAAATCAATTTTAACATACAAAGATGATGTATATTTTCTGATGTATCTATAACTATATAATATTTATCATCATCAATGTCAACTTGATGTAATACATTTGCGTGAAGGCAGTGAAAATGAGATGCTAAAACTAATGTGGTTGCATGCACTTGATGATAAAAAACAATGGCCTAGGCAGTTTAAAAAATAGTCCATCTAAAGTGAAATATAAACCTTGGTAATCAAGCCAAATGCTAGTGACCAATTAATATGGTCCACAGCGGACCATGAGGCACTTCTAAAAGGTAACTCAATTGTAGGAGGCGGTATTACGTCCTCCGGATGTTTGTGCGGCCGAGCTGAGTCCTTATTTTGGGGGGCTCATCTGTCGGATCAGACGTAATATTTTTCCCAATTGTAGGCTTCTTCAGGCATGCATCTGGTAAAGTAGATTAGTAAGTTGAGACCATAACAGCTGCGTATGTTTTAGGTTGCATGGATGTACCATCCTTTTCAGAAAGCATAGAACCAACTAATGGATTATTTAAGAAAGTGTCAAGTATTGCAAATTTAAAATCATTAGAAACATTTATTGGTGTTTCTTCACAACTTGCCAAGGGAACTAAGATTGTATCGAAAGAGGCATCCAAGCTAGATGATCTAGGAACGTTAAGAGGAATGTTAAAATGTGTGCATTAGTGATGACTCGTTTTTTATGTGGTGTTGTATCCCCTTTTTTATTTGAGACAAATTTTGTGGAAGGGCTACTCTTTTTGGGATGCAAGTTGAGCTTTTATCTTTAGCGGGTTGAGAGGTGTAGATTTTAGGTTTGTGTTATTTACCTAAAAATATAAGCATTGCTATAATCATATGATAGATTTTATCATAATTGTGGGTAAAATTTTAAACAGGCAGCATCACGACCAAGGAATTGGGTACTGTGATGCGTTCTCTTGGTCAAAACCCAACAGAAGCAGAGCTGCAGGACATGATTAATGAGGTCGACGCAGATGGCAATGGGACGATCGATTTCCCTGAATTCCTCAGCCTCATGGCTCGCAAAATGAAGGACACCGACTCCGAGGAGGAGCTCAAGGAGGCCTTCCGCGTCTTCGATAAGGACCAGAATGGATTCATCTCTGCCGCCGAGCTCCGCCATGTGATGACCAACCTCGGCGAGAAGCTCACCGATGAGGAAGTTGACGAGATGATTCGTGAGGCCGATGTAGACGGTGATGGCCAGATCAACTATGAGGAGTTTGTCAAGGTCATGATGGCCAAGTGAAAAGGGAGGATCAGCACCATTATTTCAATTTTTTTATCTATAGGTGCAAATTCAACCACACAAAAAAGAGCAAAAGTAATAATAAATAAAAAAGTTTAAAAAACGCCTTTGCTGCCCAATCTTCTGTTCTCTGTGCCTATGTTTCTATATATTCTTTTGAGAGTTTTGTTTTCAGTTTCAGTTTGACTGTATGAAATTATATAATTTTTGCTCTATTTTTGCAACTGCTGCAGACATGGAACTGTGAGGGCTGTTCTCAGTAGCTGTTTTGAATTCGAGCTTATGATTTGTGTATGGTGCTGTGATGTTATTTTGGTTGCCAGTTTGCTTAATACATCAAGTTTTGTATGCTTTTGATGTTGTCTCCTTCAGAGTTGAGAGCAGAGGTTCTGTTGCTTTTCTTGATCATTTAGTTCTTATAATATATATGTCTATTTGAATTAAGAACTTTGATAATTAAGTTCATGATTATCCAATCTTTGATTATTGCTTCACCTTAATTGTTATTTGAACAGAAGGATAAACTTTTGGTCAAAGTGATGTCTTGGTCCGAGTGAGGATAACATTTCTCTTCTGCATGTTTATGGAGTTTTGAAAAATCCAAACATCTTCTTGATGATTTATAATATAAAAACTAAAATACATTTGAACATGCACAAATTGAACATTTGAAGTGTAGATGAAATTTTTAGGATATTAATTAAAAGTGTTGGAAAATATTTGAATCTTTATAGTTATTAAAGGACTTAAATGGTGAAAAGTTGGTTTATGATAAAAAAACAAGTTGTGTGATGAAATATATATATTTTTATATTAGTTAGATTTATCAAAGTATGATTTTCAAAATTTGTATGTTGACCATAACATATATTCATAAGATATTTCATAAGATGAGACAATTAGATGTGGAGGGAAGATAAAGCGAAGAATGTGACATTGCATAGATCGAGGCTAAAAAGTGTTAATCGTGGTTGAAGTCATTTGAAATATTAATCGTTTGACATTTGCCTACACCTCGAATTGCTTAATGGGGTCACTAGTAGGGGTGTAAACAAGCCGAACACGAGCTGAGCTTGGCTCGCTCGTGTACGGCTCGTTTATATTTCGAGCTCAAAAAGTGTGTTCGTGTTCGGCTTGTTTGCTTAACGAGTCGAACACGAGCTGTTCACGAACAAAGAGACCTTTGAACAACCCTAATCATGTCGCCATAAGACAATAAGGGTTTGAGCAATATTTAAAAATTATTTTTTATATTAAAACATCATTTGAATCTAATTTAATAATTTTATTCTATTTTTTTAATTAATATTTTAATTGATTATAAATCTTTGTAGCCTTGTAGTCAATTAGATTTTTTTAAATTTATGTCTTTTATGATAAATTTATTTAAAAATTAATAAAAAAGAAAAATAGAGAATATAAAAAATGGGTGGAATATGGTCGGGGATTTGTAAATAGCAAGTTTGGGCTGGTCTGAATGTAATTGCCCCAAAAAATATAAAAACAGAGGAAAAAAGTGATAATGACACATCGACCCATTAGAAGAGAAAGAGGGGGCACCTGCAGCGGCTCCGGCGATCCTCCGACCACCACCAGCTTCCCCTGCACCATTAATAAATCCAACTACGGCCACACCGGATGCGCCGCCTTCACCGTGACAATCATCCCGTCCATACTCCCCATCACCTTCTGCCAAACACAAACAATTTTTAAATTTCTCTTTTAATATCTCACAATCATTAAATTTAATTCTAACTACCTTCATCTGTTCTTCATCACCACTGATCACAAACTGATCAGGGCTGCGCTGGACAGCGCCTCCTTCTCCTTGTCCGACGAAGTACTGATCATTGTCACTCTCATGTCCATTGCCTCGGCAAACTTAATGGGGATGCGGCGCAAGGGGTTATAGATGCTAATGTCGGCAGAGAGGGACAGGGCGACGGAGTGGACAAGGAGGGATTTGAGGGATGAGAATCTTAATGGTTACATCATCTTCTTCCTTCAACCTGCAACAAAAGCGGGGTTTGATTTCTATTGATTAGATAATGTTATACAATTTAGGGCGAAGGAAAACAGAAATCAACACGAAACCAGAAGAACACAGAGATTTAACTAGGTTCGGCAAAGATGCCTACATCATCGGGAGCAGAACGGCGAATTTCACTATTTCAAATGAGTTACATACCCATAATGTTACACATCTATTTATAAATAAAAACCACAAATAATTACAAACACGTCATCGCTCTCCTCAACCCACTAATCCAAGAGATACACCTATTCACACTAAGAGACACACATCTTCATTCCGAAGACACACCTCTCCAAATCCAAGAGACTCCAAATTCCTGGTATATGAGTCATATCTAACAATTTTCAACCTTGGCGAATATCCAGCCGCTTAAGAGAAAATCTTCACCTTGCGAATATACAGCCCCTTAGAAGAAAACATCTCCACCTTGCGAATATTCAGCCCCTCAGGAAAAAAATCTCCACGTTGCGAATATCCAGCCCCTTAAGAGAAATACATCATGAAGTTTTTTACATTGAAGTGGGTTGGACAACTAGGCCAACAAGCAACTGCGAACATTCAACAAGTTTAAGTAACGCGAGAACTTGTTGAAAATACCTGGCTTGTTCAACTTTTCTACTGCATTTTCGTCATATGATCCGATAGAGTGAACTTCACCTACAACTGTAGTCCCAAAAAATTTATAAATATTATCATCAGGTTTCACTCACAATGCCTTCAAAAGTCTTTGTTGTGCCAACAAATCTTTCATCTTTGTTTCTCACAATCCGAATGTTCATCAAACGTCATTATCTCGAATTCTGCACCAGACATTGTAATTTGAAATTAATCCTGTAGTGAACTTTTTCTGTCTTTTATTGAAACAAAACACATTACAAATAAATCCAAATAAACCTGAAATTTCCTCTGTAATTTGCAGCAATTTTCCCGCAGTTTCCTGTGATTCGTGAATCAATTTTCACAAAAAGCACATTTCCTGATCACACAAAAATTTGGCTAAAATACTGCAGATACTAGTCAAACTTCTCCTGTCACAATTTCTCATGCGACAAACCTGCGAACAATCTGCGAAATTCGCGAACTTCACTTGTCGCAATTTCTCCTGCGACAAACTTGTGAACTCCGTTGGTCGAACACCAGCTGTCGCAAATGCACCTGCCGTAAAACCTCCTGCGATAAACTTACGAACTCCGCTGGTCGAACACCAGCTGTCCCAACTGCACCTGCCGCAAAACCTCCTGCGACAAACTTATGAACTTCGCTAGCGAACACCACCTCTTGCAATTGCACTTGTCGCAACTCCTCCTGCTACAAAATTGTGAACTCCACTGGCCGAGCACCACCGGTCGCAACTGCACCTGCCGCAACTCTATATGCGGCAAACTTGCGAACTCTACTGGTCGAACACTACTTATCGCAACTCTATCAACGACAAAGTTGCGAACTCCGCTAGCCGAGCACACCTGTCGCAACTGCATCTGCCGCAACTCCTCATGTGAGAAACTTGCAAACTTCGCTGGTCGAGCACCACCTATCGCAACTGCACCTGCCGCAACTCCTACAACAAACTTGCGAACTCCTATGTCCGAGCATCACCTGTCGCAATTGCACCTACCGCAACTTTTTCGACAAACTTGCGAACTCCTCTGGCGTAGCACCACCTGTCGCAACTGCACCTGCCGCAACTCTACCTGCAACAAACTTGAGAACTCCGCTGGCCGAGCACTACCTGTCGCAACTGCACCTATCGCATCTCTACCTACGACGGAGTTGCGAACTCTGCAAGCGGAGCACCACCTGTCGCAACTGCACCTGTCGCAACTCTACCTGCGACAAGCTTGCTAACTTCTATAGTCGAGCACCTATGTTCCTTTGTTCACAAAACGAGGTTCTTGTTCACGATAACTGCACGCGAACTCCTGTTCACGAACTCCACCTCGTCGAATGTCGCGAAAGTTTGTGAACTGTCGTGCCTCGAAGCCTTGACACCGCTTCTACCGCGAACTCCCTGAAGCAGGACTCGCCGAACTGCCGCAGTCCTTTATTTGAACTGCTTCGCACCTGTTCATTCCCGCGAGCCGGCCTGCCTTGCAAACAATCCACAAATTTTGGGTATGCTCATGTTCGCCACTGAACTCCTCTCCTCTGTGAAACTGCCTCCGCTCCTTCTCGCTGCGATGTTCTTGCGCGTCACTTCAGCAAAATAATTTGCTTCCAAGATTCTTCCTCCAGCAGCACAACACAGGTTCCTCTTGCAGAAATGAAAGAATACTTTCTTCCTTGCCTCAGCCTCTTTCTCCTTCCTCCCAACAAAATTCCAAGGAAAATCCAGGAGAATATTCTTCTAGTGTAAATCAAAGATTTCATCATCCCTTCTTTGTTCGGTCCGGTGCATCTTTGCCTGTTCGCTGCCCGCCCGCGAAGAAATGCCGCCAACTATCACGCGAACTGCCAAAACAGTAACCGTCCATCTGCTTGGCACTCCTCCGCAAAAACCTCGCGGATGCCTGCCCCGATGCTGCGATCTGCAAACTTCCTTCGCGCCTGATTTTCTTCCTGCCTGCAAACGAACCTCCTGCCAAAAATTTTTTGGCCGAACTCGATTCGAGAATCCCGCCGGTGCCGCTGACCCACGAGCGAAATACCGAAGAAGAAGTATGAACTGCTCCTCTGCAAACTCCTCTGCGCCTGCTCTGATAAATGACAAACTGCTTCTCACTGAAGCTTCTTCTTCTGCAGGAACTCCTTCCTGCACCAAATCATCGCAGAACTTTGCTTGGCCTCGAACTACCGCAAAATCACCTGAAAATTCTTCATTCTTCCTGCGTCCATCTCCTCCGCCCTATAACCTAGCGCTGTGATACCAATTGTTATACAATTTAGGGCGAAGAAAAACAGAAATTGTCATGAAACCAGAAGAATGCAGAGATTTAATGAGGTTTGACAAAAATGCCTACATCCGCGGGAGCAGAGCGGCGAATTTCACTATTTCAGAGTAGTTACATACCCACAGAGTTACACATCTATTTATAGATAAAACCCACAGATAATTACAAATACGCCCTCGCTCGCTCCCTCAACCCACTAATCCAAGAGACACTCCTCTTCAAACCAAGAGACACACATCTTCATTCCAAGAGACTTCAAATTTCTGGTATATGAGTCATATCTGACAGATAGTGTATCTAAGAAAGAATAATCTTCTGTGTTGTTTGCTGATTAGCTTTGAAATTAAATTAAACTACCTTCTTGTGGAGGCAGAAGGAAAAAGGAAGCCGGAGGAGTCTCGGGTGGCGAAACGG